GGATGCAATTTTCGTCCTCATGTCCTCTGATCTAGCATCATCATAGAAGTTATTCAGAAAGGCGTTCTTAGTGTCTTCCCAAGTGGTCAATGAAGCAAGTTCCAGTTGCTTCAGCCAATATGCAGCCTCTCCTCCAAGAGAGTAAGGAAAAAGCTTGCAGAACAGGAAATCATTGCTGACTCCAGTAGCTTTGACACTTGAAGCTAGGTCCTCAAACCTCTCTATGTGATCCATAGGATGCTCATGAGGCAAGCCATGGAATGGATGCTGGCTAACCAGCTGATAATAGACATGCTTAACCTCAAAATCGTTTCTCTGGAAGGCAGGAGGTCGGATTGCAGCTCTGTTGGCATAGAACTGATCAGGTCACCTAGAGTCCTCTGAACAAAATGCCCAGCAGCGGTATTGGCAGCAGCAGGGACTCCCACGTTCTCATTCACTTGTTGAACCTGCTGTTCAACAATGACATTTCCCTCTTGATCAATTCTCTGCCCCTCTTCGTTTCTCCTGTTTCCTTCCCTGTCAACCAAGTGACCTTCTGCATCTTCAACCAAGATAAGTGGAGCGGCCATTGTAGATTGCTTCTTAGCTTTCCTGTTAGTTCTCTCCAACCTAGCAAGCTCGTCGATGCTCAAAGTCACAAGCTCCTTCTCTTTGTTGCTTCTGGTTCTGCGATTAGGCATACACCTGAAACAGGAACAAAGAAAAGCAGCAGAAAGTCAGTAAACAAATTAAAACTTAGACAAAATCCTAATACTAGATATCGAAAGGCAGCTATTACTCTCCGGCAACGGTGCTAAAAACTTTATAGGGTCAGGTTTTACCCAAATAAAACTACCGCAAGTGCACAGCAAAAGCAGTTGTAGTACAAGGAGTATCAAATCCCAAGGGAGTAATTTAAACTACACTATCAAATGTAGATTCAGATTATGCTAAACAGGATATAATGTATGTAATGCGAATTAATGATTAAAATTAAGCAAACGATTTTTGGTAGATGATCTAAGTTTCAGAAGACTAAAAGCGCTAAGTCAGGACAGTTCATAGGTTGAATCCACGAATGTAGAATGCATAAAATCAGGAATGATTAAGAACCGTTTTAAACATGAATCACTAATGTATAACTAATCAGTTCTCATTGCAAAAGTTATCTATGCCAAAATCACAGAGTTTCAAATCTCTTTGCAAACCCTAACAACCTAAGCAAGCAGGAATGATCAGATTCAGTTGTTTACAAAACTCCTAAGCCAAATCTCTTTGCACTAAGTTGTTTTGCTCATCAAATGCTAGTTCAGGTTATGAATAATGCTCTCACATATATTTAACAACCTAAGATTTTCGGATTCCTAGATGATGTTTCTCAGAAATTCGATTTTAAAGCAAGCAGAGATGAAAAACCAAAAGATATTCCTAACAGAATTGTGATTCTACAATCTCTTCATCAACCCTTGAAAAAACCCTAACTTAACTAGCAGATTACTTAGACATGATTATGAGATCACAAAACATAACTGAATAAAATTGCATTAAGAGAAAGAGTAAAAGAATAAGGGGGTTCGAAATCTTTTCAAAAGAGTACAGGATTTGTCTTCCCAAAAAGCTCTGAATAAATCTCTCTCTAAGCTGTCAGAATTCTCAAAAACTAAGATTTTCGCCAACAATGGCTGAAAAACCTAATAAATAGAGGCTAAACACGATCTGGAGTCTTCTTGTAAATAATAGAACTTCTGGGCCAATTCTGTAAATAATCTTCATACTTTTAATAAATCCACCACGCTCCTTCCTTGATGGGTGACGAGCGTCACCATATGTATACTTTCTGCTTCGAGCTTGGTACTTCGTGGCTTCAACTCAGAATGCTCCAAAAAGTTCCAAAATCTCCAATTATGCTCCATACATGCTATAACCTGCAAAGACTCTTCTAAGACTCTAAAAAGACCAAAAAGACTCAACAAAAAGGACTTATATCATGGTTAAAAACCATAAAACCATGATATATCACGGATATATTTCATTACATTGGAATTAAGGAGGCATAAATGAGTCATATTAATAACATGGTTATTTCTGATTGGTGGGGAAGAGATAAGAATGATTAGTTGGTGTGCTGGCATTTTCTGATTTGTTGGAGGAGAGAAGGTAAGGTGCTAACACCTCATTAGTGGAGAAACTCTATATAAGGACCATCAACCCTCAGCCCACCCCATTAGTTACTACCTTAGGCGTGCTAGTGAGTGTGTGAGAAAGAAAGAAAGAGAGAAGAAAAGAGAGTGAGTCCGTGAGAAAAAAGAGAGAGTTAGTTCGGTTTTATGAGAGAGTGTCAGGATCTGTGTTTTGAGTGAGTGAGCGGTATCTTAGGTCTTAGATCTGAGTGTTGTGTTGTCGTGAGTGCCTAGATCTGAAGAGTTTGTGGAAGATTTCGTCAAATCTGGTGAATCCTGGTAGTGGTGGACTATCGCGGTTGTTGTTTGTGGTGCAGTGTAGATCTTGGATCTGCATTGTAGCACAACACTAGCCTCAGTAGATTAGGTTGTGTGCTTGTGTGTATATGTGTGACTAACATGCGATGCAGGGAAGCTCGGATCTGTATAGATCAGAGTGTATACTAACATTTTCATGCAGGATCAGCCTCAGATCGGTTAGATCTGAGTGCTGTGAAACCCGTTGGGTGAGGTAACGCTTTGATGCATATTCGTGGGACATGTTATCATCCTTACCGAGTGATGAGAAGGGTGTAAGGACTGCCGGATCTCAGATCCATTTGCATGTTCCTTCACCGGTTGAGCGAGTATGCGGTTTATGGTAAAACCCGCTGCATGGCTGGAAGGTCATGTAAGTGGAGTTATAATGAACGTGCATGAGCGAGGTTCAAGCATGAGACTTGTAACCGTAAACGAGAGTTGAGACTAGAGAAGTTCTGGCTTAGCCGTCACTCTAGGGCGCTAACTTCTCGAAGGTTGTGTGGAGGTGTGTTGGCGTTTGATCAAGTATGGATCAATGCAGTGTGAAGTATAATGGTGTGTGATCCATTATACTGCGGAGTCATGTTGGTGGCATGTAATCCTTTATGACTTTGTGATGGTGTGGCCGAGTACTATCCGACGAGATAGTCGGGAAACCAGTGAGGAGTCATGGTTATCCCGACTGGGATGTGAACTCACTTGGCGGCTCTCGGATGGAAACCCACCGAGATGTGAACCGACCGAGGAGCTCCCGGGGTAAAAGATGTTCCGGCTTGAATTGTCTTTGTGATTGTCAAGCGCAGAGTGTTCGTAGTAGTGATGTCCCGACTTGACTTATCTTTGTGATAGTCAAGTGCAGGGTGATCGCGGAGGGAAACTAGCCGACCCACTTAGAGATCTCTGTGTCCACGTGAGTGTGGCGTGTGGTGTGTGGTAGTGTGTGTGCATTGTGAGAACGCGGTTTGGTGCGGAAGTGGTAGCACCTTTGCATATAGTTTAGCTTGCATATAGATCTAGGATTGCATGCTTCAGCTATTTATTTTATATTGCTTTGGCTATTGCATGATTGCTTGCTTTCTTGTTGCTTTGGGGTTTCTTGGGGATTTTGGGTGTTATATTGTTAGAGTCCTCGACTCACTGAGTAATCTTAGATTACTCATCCCCTTTTTCCTTCCTACAGGTAACCAGTAGGTGGCCTTAGTAAGCGGAGCGGAACGTTAGGACACTAGTGTACATTTGTGTTGGTTTTTGTAAAACTCGGTTGTGAGATAAAGTATGTACTAGACGCTTTTTTGGGTTTACCCTCCGCTGCAGCGTTAATTGTAAGAATGTATTTTCAAAAATGATACGATATTAATATTAAGTACGTTTTTACAAACTTAGACTTGCTTAATGATATTAGTCTTGTCCGGAGTAACACAACTCGAGACCGGGGTACGGGTTGAAAAGCCTTAGACCTTGGTCGAGAGGGTTCGAGCTAACTTGGCAAGACGGCCTTATGCTTGGATTCATTCCAAGACAGGCTGACTTATAAAGTGAACCTCGGCTTTGTGACATTCGTGGTTCAACCGTGGGTATAGATCGAATCGGGGGTGTTACACTCATGATCAGGTTTACCCACAACAAGGAGGCACTTATGGCCAAAAATACCAACCAAAACCGTTCATGCCAAGCGCAGGTGTCACCAGAGCTTCTCAGGGGGTTTCAGGACAAACAGGTGTGCAAAACCCGGGGTTTCAGCAGAAATTTTCACAGGGATTCGCCCCAAACCAAGTCTGTTGCAACTTCTTTTGGGTTGTGAAAATCCCGTCTGTTGCTTTCAGGTTATGATAACTATCTCGCAAGCACTCGGTAAAAAAGAACAGACGAGGTCTAGACCGTAATCTTTTGCCCAAGGGACAAATGTGCTTTGGCAGGACTGAATTACTTCAAGTCACCGTCCATAATATTTCCGCATCCAAGATTTCAACCAACTTCTTATTCACTTTTGCAATCTCAGCATTTTTAATGCAAAGAAGCAAAAAGTGAAAGTGTCTCCTCAGCATATATAAGGGGGGTGACCCTTTTGAAGTGGAGATAGGTGGGAAGGACCGAACTGGGGTAGGACTTGTGGTGCATGACTGTCTGGGTGCCTTGTCCGATAAATGGGGAGCTGCTGTCGGAGCCGCCGCCGGAAAAAATTCCGGCGAATTTTCTGGCGAGTGTAAAAACAGCTGGTTTTTACTCCACTTAGGTGGATGGTCGTGTCTTTCAGGAGGAGGCATGGATCCACCTACGCATAAGCCCGATATGAGTGAGTGATGCATCCCATATGCATTAAACGGGCTGGTGGCGTAATGCCCGTACTTTCACTCTCGCCTAGGTTTGATGGTCATGTTCTTTGTTGGGAAGTCATGGATCTACCTAGGCAATAAGGGGGGCTTTGCTGGATGGTGTCGCCCATGGAGCTATTCTCTTACCGCCGCACGTCTTGCTTCTCTGACCCTAATATCCACCACCAAGCCTGAGCTCTCACGACAGCCGATTACTAATGTTAGTTCGCTGGACTCGATTAAATATTCTCAGCGGCATTTCGTCAAACAAGTCTCGAGCAAACTCACACCTTCCCTTGTATCAACAACTCTGCTCAGCCTCGTCAAGACTCCAGATTTAGCGCCCAATTTCGTCAACCGCATCGATCTTCATCACTTAGACTTCAAAAAAAAAGTGCTTAGCGATTGCTGTTGTCTCTAAGCTCTCTTCTCCCAAACCAGCTCTTCACTTACTTAAAAAAAAATCGTTACTAGCAGAAGTAGTGTTAGAGACATTCTCGATGAATTGATGAATGCTCGTGGACGATTAGAGTCTAAAAGTGTTCTCTCCTTTGCCGATGAGATTCTGAGCATCATAGAGACCTTTTCAACCTAGCCAAATCTCTCTGCCAATTCATTATACTTGTCAACCATCTTCTTCTGCTCCTCCTCTTCTTTCTCTATCACAATCAAGAGCTCATCGTTCTTGGTCCTCAAATCATGGACCATGGCCTTCCTCTCACTCTCATCATCTCCTCAACCATCTTCTTATACTTGTCCTTCTCGCTTTAATTCTGAAGATGCTGATTTATCTTCTCATTCATTTCCTCTACAAGCTTAAATCTTTCCACACGATTTGCCTATTCCTTTTTCAGATTCTCATGGTTCTCCACCAGGATTTCGTGTCTTGTTGTCAATAACCCATCTTCAGGAAAAGTAATGTTTCTCGCTCCAGTAGCCGCTCTATGATGCTCAGAAGCTCAGAATCTCATCGGCAAAGGAGAGAACATTGTGGCAAGAACCATGAGAATAGGAAAAAGGATTACGCAAAGTCTTGCAGAAAGATTTAAAATTGTAGAGGAAATGAATGAGAACATGAAGCAGCATCTTGCGAGAAGGACAAGTATAAGAAGATGTTTGAGGAGATGATGAGAGTGGAGAGTGAGAGGAAGGCCATGGTTGATGATTTGAGGACCAAGAACGATGAGCTCCTGATTGTGATAGAGAAAGAAGAGGAGGAGTAGAAGAAGATGGTTGATAAGTATAATGAATTGGCATAGTGATTTGGAGAGGTTGAAAAAGAGTTTTCATGCTTGAAATCGCTCTTTAATGCTCAAAATCTCAGAATCTCATCGGCAAAAGAGAGAACACTGTGGCTTTTTGATTTCTTGGTCAGATACTGCCTGCTGTGAATTGAAGATGGTGGATGAAGCATTAGAGTGTTTTTACTTGATGTAGGAGAAAGGTTTTGTTCCAAAGACTGAAACTTGTAATTGCATTCTGAGTTTGTTATCAAGGTTGAATCGAACAGAGAGCGCTTGGATCTTCTATGCAGATATGGATAAGATGGAGATTAAGTCCAACATATACACTTACAACATTATGATCAACGTGTTGTGTAAGGAAGGGAAGTTGAAAAGGGCTAAGGAAGTTTTAAGGATCATGGAGAGTTTTGGAGTCAAACCTAATATTGTCACTTACAACACTCTTGTGCGATAGTATTCGTTGAGAGGACGAATCGAAGGAGCTCGAATGGTTATCAAAGAGATGAAATCCAAAGGGTTTAAACCGGATTTGCAGACATATAACCCGATTCTGTCTTGGATGTGTAGTGAAGGAAGAGCCTCTGAGGTGTTGAAGGAGATGAAGGAGTTGGGTTTGGTTCCAAATTCTGTTTCTTACAATATCTTGATCCGTGGTTGTAGTAACAAAGGGGATTTGGAGACAGCTTTCGCTTACAGGGATGAGATGATGAAAGAAGGTTTCACGCCAACGTTTTATACTTACAACATGTTGATTCATAGTTTGTTTATGGAGAATAAGATTGAAGCCGCGGAGATATTGATAAGAGAGATTAGAGAGAAAGGTATAGCCTTGGACACTGTTACTTACAACATACTCATAAGGCTCTGAATAATTCGTGTAATTGTATGTTTTTATATTTTCTGAACGAGCTCCAGTCCTAATCTGTTTCCGCTAGGATCAACGTTAAAGCAATATATGATCGAATATTCAATCAATGATGATTAACTTGAATCAATAAGTTGATGGGAATAGTAATACAAAAATTTCAGTGTATCAATAAGAAAAACTGAAGAGGAAAAAGGAGAAGAGCAGAGAGTTCGTTTCTTGAATGTTTCTTACAAGCACGAGTCCTTTTTTATAGCTGAGTCCTTTCTTCTGTACGGAATATGCGAATACATCATCTTACTCCATTCATTTTTGCTTGTCTTTCAGAAACTCTTCTACTGATGAATCAGATTGTTCTACATCAGTCTCAATTGAATTTCGACACATTCTGGTTCATGAATTTCACTAAAACTAGAGAGACATTTTGGTTCCTCGATAACATTAAGAGTAGAGATAATTCTGTTAGCATTAAGATGTTATTACTTAAATCTGATAAAGTTGATAAGCACTTTTTTGAGCAAGGGTTAAATTGCAGTGAGGTTATCAAACTCAAATGCAAGACATGTTGTAGTACAACAAGCAAGAGAGAGTCCATCCATGCCTAGGATGATAGAGAATGCACAGAGAATACAAGGACTAATGTAAATCTAAACGAAATGAGATGATTTATGAGAAAATCTCTAAAAACTAGATGTAGCAACTTAAATGGAATGAAACCTATTTTAAAAATACTAGAAAGGAAGAAACTACCACGAGAAACAAACAGAATAATTAAAGGAGAAAGCTTCGAATTATTAAAATTCGACTAGTGGATCGACCATGAGATCGACCACTAGATCGAGCAGTAACAATCGATCTCGTCTAAAAATGCAAGAACAGTAAAACTAAGGACCAGGATGCTATCAGAGATCAAGCGAAAGACGAGATAAGATGTAAAGATGCTAAGAGAAAGGGCCTAGGGTTGAGATTCATGGTCAGGGGTTTCAAAGGTTCGACCTTGGGTTTAAAACTTTAAATCGACTCACTTGGTGAGGATCTCTAAGCCTTGAAAACTAAGCAAGATCTATCCGTGGCTTTCGATATAGATCACTCCTTTATCCTCTCCTCCAAACCCATGGCTTTTGGTGGAAAGAGAGGTCGAAGGGCAAGGAAAACAGATTTCAAACGAATGGCTTAACTAATCCCCCAAACTTCCATGGCTTTTGGAAAGGGGTAACTAGTCTCTAAGGTGTGATCTTCCGAGGCTCCTGAATCCTGTCAAGGTAAGGAACCTCTCGGATCATGAAGCTCTTGGCGTGAGAGTCTTCAAGCATTGAGATCTCAACACCTTAGAAGAGATAGCCATTGAAAACGTTTAGAAAAACCCCAAGATCAAAACCCTTTAGACCCCTTAATCCTCTCAACCCCGAACCCAAATAAACTACTCGCTACACATAGAGTAAATCAAGCAAGGCATGTAAAGCGAGACGATGAACATGAAAAAAAAACTAGATTGAAACGGAAATGATTCGATTACAAAGCTTAAGAAAAACGCGAGTTCAACAATGGTGTTCTTCACGAAAAACAGAGAGAAAACATTAGGAAAAAGATAAGGATCTAAAGTTGTTGTGGGAAAAGGACGTCGCCGCCTTCCCAAAATGCCGAAACAAGCTGATGGTCCCCCCCTCGCTAGCGGCCAAAAACGGTTGAAAGGACAGAGATCGATTCCAAGATCGAGCGGTTCTCTCGATCATATCCGGACATCGTGTCTTTGGCTCGATCTGGGTCTCGATCATCATCGGCGAATCGAGTGTTGCATCCGATCTCGGTATCGATCTTTGGCTGGATCGAGTGGTGTACTCAATCTGACTCTCGCTCTGCATGGCGTCATTTACGTCCGTACCGTTTGATCGATTGCTTCACTCGATCCTTGTCTTGATCATTCTCCTTGGATCGCCTGGTTGGCTCAATCTTCTGGTCGATCAACTCCCAGATCGACCGGCCATGCTCGATCTGCTCCTCGATCTCTGATCCTTAGCATATATCCGAGCTCCCACGAACTGCTACATCAGCCTCAACATGTCCACGAACCTCCACGACTCCAAAGCAGCCAGAAACAACCTGAATGTGATGCAAAATGCAAGGAAAATGCGTATGCTGATGCAAGAATGCTCTAGGACCCTAAGTGATGCAATTTAACCTAAAACGTGATACAAATGCATTAGAAACTAACTAATGAGTATGCAAAATGTATGCAATATGCAATAACATCAAAAGTTAACCTTATAAGATGACACTTTTTTGGTATTAAATAATTTTAGATTCTGAAATTGACCCTAAATGATTCCAAATTCTAAAATTACCAAAGTACTAGATCTCATAACAAGTGAATCTAGCTTTAATAAAGGACATTCACCTCACAGCTCTCATCCTAAGTTCAAGCTTTTTGGGCTCGTATCTGCTCTGTATGCGAAAGTATTAACCGTAACTCTTTCTACCATTTCCCTTTAAATACTCAAAGCACATAAAACTAGACTCGCATATCTTCTTACTTGTCACATCCACGCTTTCCTTAGGGGGTTATTGAGAGAGTGATTTATGTAGATTTTGAGAATTTTGAGATTCCATCATTATTGGTTTATTGATTCCTAAAATTTTACTAGTTATCATTGTTATTGGTTTAAAGATTTTAAAATTCCATCCAAAATCCTTTGCTATTCAAAAAAAATTGGCTTTTAAAGATTCTATGATTCTATTAAAATTTTATGTTATTGGGATATGGATTTTAACTCATAGAACAAAATTTTGGAAGATTTTCAAAATACTACCTATATGGCTTAGATTCTCAAAGTCATTATAATAAAATATTTTCATAGATTTTCTAAATATACAAACTCTTTCCAAATTTAAAAAATTTAACAATTTCCCAACTCTTAAAATCAATCAAAATTTTATAATTCAATCTCCCAATAATAATCTCTCCATATATACGAAGGATTCTCTTCAATTCATCCAGCCACAGGAGCTCCAATTCGCTTTCTGCTGCTTTCCAAGTTCCATTCCCTTTGCTGATCAGCCTCTTGTCAACTCTCTTTGATCGCACATCTCAGCTGCATCATCTCTCCCTTTTTGTAACGTGATTTTTGTTTATTCTCATTCATCAGTTGTAACGCAAGAACCTTGAAACTGTTGAAGGTCTCTGATTTTTCCCTAAGAAATCTCACCAAGTGTACCTGGTGAAGTCATCATCAAGCACATATACATACTTCTGCCGAGTAATACTTTCAACCTGAACTGGTCCCATCAGATCCATGTGAATCGAATCTAAAGCTTGCTTGGATTAAATCTATTGTATCCCTTTCTGCTGAACCTTGACTTGTTCTCCTTTAGCACATGGTCCACACACAAACTCTGTTTCAAGTTTCAGCTTTGGTATTCCTCATACAGCTTTTTGTTCTTCAAACTTGATCAAGGTCCGAACATTCATATGACCAAGTTTATGAT